TGCTGTGGCAGATGACTGTTGTGATGCTGCGCTAACATTACGAAAACAATGAAAACAATAAATTTGCATAAATATTCTGAACACCATTTGGGTATTCATCACTCGAGAGGGACGTCACGGAAAATCAAGACGGACCAAATGGTACATTACAACAATCCTTCAAATTGGAAACACTTTAAATACTTTGGAATTTGGGAAAGTTCTAGTGGTAAAAGTATGTAAAGTTGAGTAGAGCCAAAGTTGGGGGACGGGACGAACGTGCGTCCGAGGATGCGGGCGGCAACTTGCGCGGCGAAGTTCGTGGCGATTTGGACGACTTTGACGCCAATTTTCGGGGCACGAACTCGAAGTAGAGTAGTTTAGTAGAGTCAGATGATCCTTCTAATCCACTCCACTTCAAATTTGGGCCCCAATGATAGGCGCCCAAGTCGTACAAATCGTTACGAACTTCGCCGCGCAATTTGCCACGCGCGTCCTCGGACGCACGTTCGTCCACATACCCCCGAAGTTGGTCGATCTTTTCGCAGTATGGGACGCATCCGAGTTCTTTACGAATTCATTGGGATACTGTAACGCATAGTCTATATATCAACGCAACATGGGACAATGCTAGCCCGAATCAGCAAGCAAACTGAATTTTCAGGACAATGACGTACCATTTAGGCGATCAAGAAGTAAAGAGGGGGCTGGTATGAAGAGCATCATGCTCCGAGAAAAAAACGAAACCGAAAACGAAAAACCGAACAACCGCCAAAGAGAATAAGGACTTTGGAAAAAGTAAACAAAATCTGTAAAAGCCTTACTCTGAATTCTATCAGCTTCAAGCTTCAGTAATGTCATTCACCTTAGATACTTAGTTCTAGGCTCCCAAAGATGAGTTACAATAGACAAAGTAAGAATCCAACAAGTAGCCCCGAGAAAAAAACGAAACCGAAAACGAAAAACCGAACAACCGCCAAAGAGAATAAGGACTTTGGAAAAAGTAAACAAAATCTGTAAAAGCCTTACTCTGAATTCTATCAGCTTCAAGCTTCAGTAATGTCATTCACCTTAGATACTTAGTTCTAGGCTCCCAAAGATGAGTTACAATAGACAAAGTAAGACCGTCCAACAAGTAGCCCAATAGGAATAGAAATGATAAAAATAACACGATGGAAACTTTGCTTTCTAAAATTCCACGTTCGAGAAGCATAGTGGTTTCTAAATCTGGCTCAGTACGAGAAAATCCCCTCATACACGATTTCCCCTCTACTATGTAAACCAGACGTAAAAAGAACGGAAGTAAAAAGGTTTGAATAGCGAAACGAAAGGAGAAGCAAAAGAAGCAGTCAAGCGAAGAGAACAGATACCCAAAGAGAACAGATACCCACTGCTTTAAAAAAAAACTCTCCAGAGGCCCTACACAATGCCAGGAGGGCGAAATTGAAAACGATTAGGCAGTGCCCCTTCCTCGACTTAATTTCTCTATAATAGCACTAATCGGAACATTATTCAGTAGTCTGTCATGTAATGATAATTTGAGCAGTCCTGTAGAAGATGAATTCAACAAAAAAAACGGCAGCGTTTTCCTTAGCACGAGAAGTATGGGTTCCTGGGATCAACTCTACCTTACACATTCCTATTACAATTCTAAATAAATCCAGCTGTAAAAGACAAAGGTCAATCAGGAACTTCACGCCGCAGTTCCGTAAAACCGTGACCCCAGAGCAACTTCATTTATCAATCTTCTTGATACTGAAACTCAGAGATTTCGACAACTTTCCGATGCCCATAAAGACGAGAAAGACAGATTGACCATAATATTTTTAAAAAACTAAAGTACAATCCCAGTCCGAGTTGCCTGGAATAAGTTAGACTGACCGCAAAGAGCAATGCAATTGTGAAGAAGTCAAGAACAGAAGAGGATGGTAAAAGCGCGAGGCTGCCATAGCGATGGCAGTTACTACGGC